AGAATGGGCTAAGTCATCATAATGAGTAAGCAATAATATGGTTCAAATTCGCTTTTGCGCGAGAATCAAACGTAAGACCTTTTGGAAGATTTTTTTTTTTTTTTTTTTTTTGGTTTTTTTCAACAAACGATATTATCTACATTAAGGAAGTGAATGAGTGGGCTAATGTGACAGCCCGTCCCGAAAATATCAAAAACGTACGTGTGAAAAGACACTTTTACCCCTAGTTCGTTCCCTTTACGTTATTGGTTGTTTTGTGTGGTGTTGGCATGTGTTGGGCCACACACTCACACTGTCACTCTCCCTAACCCTCTGTCCCTTTCCCTGGGATTTGTCCCGAGCCCTGTTTCCCTTCCCTTTCACCATATACGTACGGACACCACCCAAAACCCATCAAACACCCACAGATCGAGGCAACCAAGGTCACATTCGAGCTCGTGAGACTGGGAGGAGTGCAGCTGTACCATTTTCAGGTAAGAAAACCACCGTTTTCACGTCGATTTCACGAAGTCCGTTTTGGGGTACTATTCATGCAAACGTGAATTCTCACGTTTTAGGGAAAATGAAGCTTGTAGGTAGCTTGGTGGGGTCCCAAGGAGTCTCGGAGTGGTTCATTTGAAGAAATTGGACGTCGGGATAGCCGTTTTTGAAGTTGGCCGGAATTGGAGTGTGGTGACAGGTAAGATCTCGTAATTTTTAACCCTTAAAAGTGGTGTATTGGTGTTCTCCTAGGTTTAAGCTTTAATTTGGTAGTAATTTCGTGAAATTTGGGTGAAAAACGGACGAGATATCAACGTTTGAAGTTTTTCCAGTTTTCCGGCGCCGGAGGTTCGCCGGGGAAGGAGACGGAATATTCCGTCAAGTCTGACGGAATATTCCTGACGCCGTTAACGGAATCCGTTAGAACTAACGGAATATTCCTTACGGCGTCAGTTGACGCCGTCAGCGTGCCAGGCACGTGCCTACGCGTGGCCGGCGCGTGTGGCCGTACCTTGGCCGGCGCGTGCGGCGGTGGAAAATTTTTCTAAAAATTTGGGTGTGATCCTGAGGTTGTGTAGAGCACGTTGGTATATTCATTTGTCCAATTTGAGCAATGTATGAGAAGTTATTACGAGAAGTTGGTTATATGCTTTAAAATTAACGTTTTTATAGTTGTTTCGCATATAGGTGATACGTATCCCGAGGACGAGCGTGGTCACTCGAGGCAGGGGGGCTACGACCCTTCCACATACCAGTGAGTGGGCTTTTGGTTTTCCGTATATACCTATATACTATATTTTTTTCCCAGAAATTGATTAAATGGTTATCAGTTATATGCCATGCATTACATTATCGTTAGTCATGCATCGTTGGTTGCATTAGTAGTTGCATATATATATACATATGCATATTTGGGTGTTGTGGGCGCACAGGTAAGTGCCAGGTAAGTGTTATTCATATTTACATTCAGTAGTTGTTTGAGATGCTTAGAGAGCTTATAACCTGCACCCCCGGTGTTAGTGCTCCCGCCCAGAGTAGGGCACAATCCTTCACGTGATGTTCACCTTCCGCACCACACGCTCAGCTTGGATCCAAGTTAGGTGCACAGTCCTGTCGTACAGACCACATTAGGTGGTTCCGACTCGTAGGTTGATAGGAGCATATTTATGCGACTTAAATGGCTTGTTCTCGTACATTTACGTTATGTTTCTTTAGTTATTTTAGTACTTTAAGCTATTTTCGTGTGTTTGTAGGTCCAAAGGGCTAAAGGAGCAAAAAGATGCATTTTGGAGACTTTTGGAGCACTTTTGGGCTAAGGACGGATAGCTTATGCTTGAAGCCAAAGTGTTGGACGAAATTGAAGACCTAATTGGAGCCAAAGTGTTGGAACCTTGTTCTCTTTAGTTTTAGGACATTTAAACCTTTCCTAATCCCAATCATGCCATGCATAACACACATCCATTCTAACACATTGTCATTGCACATGCATTTCCTTCATTAGTTAACCCACATGCACTTATCACTTATCATCACCACATATCATATCACTTAATCACTTATCACTTATCATCACCACTTAACCACTTATCATATCATAACCACATATCATATCACTTATCACTTATCACTTAAAATATCATCCACCTACTTCACCTACAACATCCACCTACTTCACCTACAACATCCACTTACTTCACCTACAACATCCACTTCACCTACAACATCCACCTACTTCACCTACAACATCCACTTCACCTACAACATCCACCTACTTCACCTACAACATCCACCTACTTCACCTACAAATGACATAGCCATATGTTCCCTCCACTACTCCTATAAATACCCTTGCATTCATTCATTCATAAACATCTCATTTCATACACAACACATTACAAACACATTCTCCCTTCCCTAGCCTTGAGCTTCCCATCTCTCCCCTTATAATCCAAACACCATTTTTCCATTCCCCTTCCACTTCTCCACCACTCCTCTTCCATTCCACACTTCCATCCCCCAAACCAATTATCCCTAGACCTTATGCTACAATAAAGAGGAAGAGAAGAGAGCCTAAACGTTCATACAATTCAAGTTTGAGTTGTTGGAATGTTTAGGCGTTTCTTTGATTTCAATGTTTAATTTCAATTCTCTTTGTTTTGTATGAGGAACTAAACCCCCCCCCCTTTAGCTAGGGGGTGATTCGAAATATATGTTTATGCTTGCATTTTGATTTGATTACTTCTAATTACGTTTCATAAGTTGTGAATTCAATTTGTTTAACTGTTTTATTGATAACCTATTTATGTATGTTTATTGAGAGTGCACACTTAATTTTCATGCATGAATTTGACGCTAGAATATAAGTGAATTTCACCTAATCGTTATGAACTTATATTCACAAGTAGTGGAGGTTGCTTATAAACAATCGCGTTAAACGAATTCTTGGCATAAGTTTCATGCAATCATAGTAACAAATGCCTCGTCAACACTTATAGTTTTCAAAGAACTTAATGATTCTTGCTTGTATCTCTATTATGCAATTCATGTAGGGAACTTGTGAGGAATGCTTTGGGTTGTCGTATGCAATCATCCAATTCATTAACTTAAGGAAAACTTGACGGTTAATTTAAGCGGACCTAATTAACTTGGAGTGTTGAGAATTAATGATTTATTGAAATGCAATTGGAAATCATTTTATTATGCAAGTGTAACCTGTGTGGAGATGAACCCCTTAGCTATTCTATCATCCATTCATTCCATTTTATCATTTTCATATTTACATTCTGCTTTAATTTGCAATTTGTTCATTTAGTTTAATTTCGTTAAAATCTAAATCCCCCTTTACTTTAATGTCAAATTAGTTAAAAATCAATTTAGTTTGTGTTTTTAAGAGTTTTGAGTCTTTTGAACTTGTTTGAATCTTTTGGTTTGTTTTAGTGTTTTAAAGTTTAGTTTTGCAATATTTGAGTCTAGTATAGTATTTTATTTTGTGTTTTTTTTTTTAGTCAAATCCAAGTGATTAACAATCCCTCCTAATCCCCGGTCCAGAACGATCCCTACTTGCACTTATACTACAAATTGACAAAAAGAGGGTTTAATTTGTGTGCGTATAAATCCCGCATCATAGGTGACCCGCGATTATTCGCACAGCCTTCACGTGATCGTAGCACTAGAGCGTATATATGTATTAAACCCAAGCCTGTCGTACAGACCACTTTAGGTGGTTCCGACTCGTGGGCAGGTTCAGTTATTGAGTTTGAGATTTGAGCTCTACATGTAGCCGTACAGGTCACGTTAGGTGACTCCGGCTGCCAGATTATATGTTATTGATATGATTTATACCTGAGCACTTGCATTTCATTCTGAGGTTTCGACATGGTATACTCTTGAGCATGTTTGGCATATCTATATACATACGTATATATGTTATTTTCTGGGAAGTATACAGGTTTTACGGCGAGGGGTTAGAATGTATTTTTCTCAATGGTTTTCGAAAAGCTTTGTTTTTGCCCACTCACGCTTTTGTTTTGCGCCCCTCCAGGTTCTAGTTGCTTAGCAAATTCGGTGGTTTCCCAGAGGGCTTTCCCGGCATTTCTGACAGACGCTCATCAGCGTAGGGTCACCTTCGGGTGTACTATTGTCGAATCATTTTTCTTTGGACTGCTGTAGACTTAATGCTCTGAACTTAGCATCTAACTCACGCTAGCACTTGTTTTTAGTACTTTGTATGCTAGTTTTTAATTATTCGTACTTTTTATATTACTATTTTATTAGCTTCCGCATGTGCACATGGTTACGTCACCTCCGTGTGACGGCCAGCACGCCCTGATCTCGGTCGGGGTGTGTCAGCTAAGACCCATATTGGGTTAGCCATAATAATGTGATTTAAATCCGTCTTTGGTAATAATCGAATCTAAGACCTTTCAATTATAAGTGAAGTAAAATGCCACTAGATCGAGTACTAAGTGGCAATGAAAGTTAAAACTTCATGTTTACCAACGTGTTGCATTTTGACTCCACAGTAAACATGTATTTGATGCGCTCACATGCCATGTGGCAACAATCCAAGACAGCTTGACGGCCCCCACACCAACCCCACAAAGACAAAACCGGAAAGGATCTTATCCAGATCCCTTTCCTTCTAATTCACCAAATTAGTAGATTCGTGTCATTGAAATTTGATCCAACTGTTGAAGTTATTATAACTTTTAAAGTGGGCCCCTATTTTTAGTCGTTGGATCAAATTTTAATGGCACAGATCTACTGATTTAATGGATTAAGAGGAAGGAATTCGGAGATGATCATTTTCCGAAAAAACCTACCTTATCTAAAAATCTGTCATTACCAGTAGTTGTACCTCACAACTCCCCTTCCACGCGTCCCAGCCGTTGATCTCGCACAAACGACTGGTCATCGCGGGCCCACCCTCCAAACCAACGTTCCAGATCGGATCCTCCGGATCAGCCAAGGGCTCACGCAAGCCCTCCCGCTATATCAACTCTCACAGCCGCGTGTCCGACTCCTCTTTCTCGCTCCACGTCTCTCTCTCCTCCCCCACACTCCTATCTCACGCGTCGCCACCCACCGGCTGCTCAGCCCCCTCCGTCGGATCTCCGACTATCTATCCCTCCACTCCCTTTCCTCTCCTCCCTACCCAAAAACCTAAAAAGAGTTGAGTCTTTTATTTTATTTTATTTTTCTCAGCGGAATTTTATCGAGCAGTTGGCGAGCGTTGAATAGAAAGAGGAGAGGGAGGATTATCGAAAAAACAAAAGTAAAAAAAATTCAAATATTTGAAAAAAGAACAAAAAAATTTAGGGTTTTTTTTGTCTGTTGAAGATGGCGCAAGTTCAGCAGGTTCCGGCTCAGAATGCGAACGCGGCAGCAGCGGCAGCTGTGGCGAACGGTGCCGGAGGAGCTAACCAGTTCGTGACGACGTCGCTTTACGTTGGCGATCTTGACCCGAACGTCACCGATTCGCAGCTCTACGACCTGTTCAACCAGCTGGGTCAGGTAGTTTCGGTTAGGGTTTGCAGGGATTTGTCCACTCGGAGGTCGCTTGGCTATGGCTATGTCAATTTTGCCAACCCGCAAGATGGTTAGTGGTTTTAATTCACTTTCTTATGGATTTTTAAGCTCAATTATGTAATTTAGATCATGGGTTATCTTATTTTTAGCTGATTTAGGATGCTTAATTAAGAAATATTTGTGCATGCGATGTAGGCACTGTGGATGCCAATTGAGCTCTCCATAATACTGTATTTTGTTGTGCGAAAGTTACAATTTTTAGGTGCGGTCGGTGGATCCAATTCTGTTTAACTGTGTTTGCGCAAATAATTGTAGAAAGAAACCGTAGAAAAAACATGAACTAAGTGATCGGTCATTCGTTAAGCGCAGGTGTTGCTTGTTATGAGAGGCCTCGTTTGGCAGCTTGGATTGTACTGACTATTTCTGTCGGATATGATAAATAGCTATCGGATAATATTGACTAAATTAGTCAGGCGTTTGATGTAGTATCGGATTAATGATCGTATTATTTATATTGTGTTTGGTACTGGATAAGAAAAGGGAAAAAAAAATTTGACAAATCATTTTTTGTTTGATGAACTTTTCTCTCTCCCCTCCCCAGATTGCCGATCTTCTCCCCAGATTTCCGATCGTCTCCTCCCCTCACTCCCTCCTCCTCCATCACTCTCCCTAGATTTTTGGGGTTCTAGGGGTGTTTGATTCGGACAAAAAGGGGTTCGTAGGCCCAAAAACGGCTTCGTTTCGAGGATAGAGGTTGGGCTCATGGTGGCCATCGGATTCAAAGACGGCTTTTGAGGTGAAACTGGTGAACAATCTCGGATTCACGAAGAAAGAAGTGAGTTTTGTGTGTTTTTCACTGGGAGAGAGAAGAGAGCTGTTTTGCCGTTGGAGCTCTCTCACTCGCTTGCTCTGGTTCTTGAAAAATCCTATAAAAATAAAATCCTTCTGCAAAACAAGAAAACTAACTACTAAATGCATCCAAAATTTAAAACTTGAATGTGATTTCCACCCAGTAAATTACTCACAAGCTTTGAAAAGCTCTGTTGTGTTAGATAACGGCGGATGAAAAAACCCAGAAATCAGAAATTGCAGAAAAATTCCATGAAATAGAGGGAGGGGTGGAACTTGGGAAGAAGAGGAAGATGAATGAGAAGATGAACTAGGATTCAGTTGAAGAAGAAGATGAATGAAGGATGGGCAGAACCTAGGAGGATCGACAGTGCGTTCGGAGAGGACGGAGTTAGCGAGCCCGACTAAATTGTCCTGTGGTTTTAGACGGGATAAATAGCCGGGTGTGAAGGGTATAAGATAAGTGGGCCCAGATTAAATAGTATGGTGCTTATTTCATACGAAGCTCACCAAACACCCGCTTCGTATTATTAGTACTATCCGGTGGTACTAATCGGTGTGCCAAACAAGGCCTTAGTGTTTGCAAAAAGGAATTGTTGTTAGGTGGGGAGAGTGAATACAAGCATGTGCAATTTTTTGGTTAATTGTTATGGGCTATGAACGGATGTTTCAAATTTGGGCAATGTGCGACTTTTTCTTGATTTACTTCCTGCCGATGCATTATATGATTATGAATTGCTGTCTATTGGTGAGGTTTGTAATGTTGAGATTGTGGCTGTGGTGTTGGACTCTTGTACGAGTTTTCTGGTCATGTTTTACGACTTTCAGTTGGTCTCTTCGGTAAAGGCTCCAATTTTGGTTTGAACAAGAAAGAAACGTGCACCAAATTGAATTAAGCTACTGTTGTATTAGGATTCATTCTAGCAAAGGGCAGGATTAAGGTTGTTCATATTTAGGCTTATTCTCAACTGAAAAAAGGCTTATATGTTAAAAGTGTGTCTATATTTTCCATCTCATACTACTCTTTGAATAATCTGATTGGTGTTACGTGGAAACAAATTTGGAAGCTGTTTTGTTACCTTTTGTTATTAGATGATAATATGTCCCCTTACCTATCGTTTATGAAATAATAAAGTTTTCAATTCTTTGTCTTTATTTCATGGTTTTTTTGTTCTGTTCCACACAAAGATCAGTTTAGATGGATACTTTAAGGCCTCTCTTAAAATGTTAAGTTGAAACTTTCTTGTCATCTGAAGGCCGTCGTTGAGATTAGAAACCGAAAAAAGGAGGATATTTTGCTTTCCTGTAAACAATTGTGCCAATGAACCATTAAATTTAAGAAGTACTTGCTGGAAAGATGTTTGTATTGTATCTTATTCAAGAAGAAAAAGTTGAATTACAGCTTGAAAATATGGGTCAGTTGGGATGCCTTGCTCTAATTGGTTCAGCAATGTGTCATTTTTCTTTGGATCTTGAGTTATTTTTGTTTTGTCTTATGATTTTTATCATGGCAATGATTGCGTTGAAGGGTTTGACAGAACTCTTTTACAGTAACATGTGCCTCATAAGTATTTGGATACATACATGCAATCTTGTGTTTTGTTCTTGAAATAGAGCTCAGAGATGCCTAGTATTTTTCGCCTTCCTTTGTTTTGCACTGTGTTGGATTAGTCAGTACTCTTTTTTCTTTTGAATCTTACTTACATCTTTAGTTGGAATTGATGGCAGCTGCTAGGGCTTTGGATATGTTGAACTTTACTCCTGTGAATGGAAGGCCCATTAGGATTATGTACTCTCATCGTGATCCTACTATTCGCAAAAGTGGGGCTGGAAACATATTTATTAAGGTATTTCCATTTTTAATTTTTATGCAGCACCGTTCTACTTTCATGTCATGGTTGTCCTCAGTTTTTACTTGTTTTATATCCTTCCTGACACCTCTACTTGTATTAATTTTTCCAGAATTTGGACAAAGCTATTGATCACAAAGCCTTGCATGATACATTTTCTGCATTTGGAGACATCCTTTCTTGCAAGGTGGCTACTGATCCTGCTGGCCAGTCAAAAGGCTATGGCTTTGTACAATTTGACAAAGAAGAAGCTGCCCAAAAGGCTATAGAGAAGTTGAATGGTATGCTTTTAAATGATAAGCAAGTTTATGTTGGTCCTTTCCTCCGGAAACAGGAAAGAGACAGTACTGCTGACAAGTCAAGATTCAACAATGTTTATGTAAAGAATCTGTCAGAGTCAACTACCGAGGAAGATTTGAAAAAAGTTTTTTCTGAATTTGGGATAACCACTAGTGAAGTGGTGATGAGGGATGGAGATGGAAAATCAAAGTGCTTTGGGTTTGTCAATTTTGAAAAGGCTGATGATGCTGCTAGAGCTGTTGAGGCTCTGAATGGAAAGAAATTTGATGATAAGGAGTGGTATGTTGGGAAGGCCCAGAAGAAATCTGAAAGGGAAAATGAGTTGAAACAACGATTTGAACAGAGTATGAAAGAGGCAGCAGACAAGTATCAAGGCGCGAACTTGTATGTTAAAAATTTGGATGATACCATTGCTGATGATAAACTTCACGAGCTTTTCTCTCCATTTGGGACTATTACCTCATGCAAGGTGTGTATTGTGTAGCCCCTGTTTTAAATTGCAAAGTGCAATGTATTTGTGTCATAATCTTCAGTCATTTTGTATTGGTATGGCCTAACGTAGTTTTCTCTTTTTTTGTTGGCATGTGTTCAGGTCATGCGAGATCCTAGTGGAATAAGTAGGGGATCAGGTTTTGTTGCATTCTCAACTCCTGAAGAGGCAAATAGAGCTGTGAGTTGATTTCCTATATGGATTAATATAGTGCTTCTATGGTCTCATTCCGACTTCCCTCATTTCAGTTTTGTAGGACAAAATTTAATCTTGCTACCATGATCAACCATGGGTAGTGAGATTCATGGCTGCCTCATCTATAACCCAAAAAAATTAGGGTTAGGATTTATGAATATTGTAGAATATGGGGGCTCTTGTGGGTAATGTATGTCTGTGAGCGTGTGCATGTGTGTTTTATTCCTCAAATAATAGTGTCTAGTGAAAATAATTTATTTTTTGTTATTGTGTATAGCTATTGGAGATGAATGGAAAGATGATTGTAAGTAAACCTCTCTATGTTGCACTTGCACAAAGAAAAGAAGATAGAAGAGCAAGGCTACAGGTATGTCTTTTATTTGTCCTACAACAAACTAACTTTGAGTGTACCTAACGTCAATTGATAAATAGTTTTTCTGTGTACATCAAGTTATTTTCCTGCAAGATCTTTAAAGTGAGTTGTAGACTAAAAGGATCTCAAAGATACGTATCCTGTTGAACTTGGTGCCACTCTTTTTGTATTGTTGTTATGTTATGGACATTAACTGCTTGCCCAGGCTCAGTTTTCTCAAATGCGGCCTGTTGCAATGGCACCTTCTCGTATGCCAATGTACCCTCCTGGTGGTCCAGGTCTTGGACAACAAATATTCTACGGTCAAGGCCCACCTGCTATCATTCCCTCTCAGGTAACCAGGAATTTCATTCTTTTGGTATTTAAAATTGTTATATTTTATTTTTACTTAATTGTTATATCAAGAGTTCAGTAATGTTGCCCTATTACCTGACTTTATATTTTATTTTTCCTTTGTAGCCTGGATTCGGGTATCAGCAGCAGCTTGTTCCTGGTATGAGGCCTGGTGGGGCACCAATGCCAAATTTCTTTGTGCCAATGGTTCAGCAGGGGCAGCAAGGGCAGCGTCCTGGTGGCAGACGTGTGGGCTCTGTCCAGCAAAACCAACAACCGGTTCCGATAATGCAACAGCAGGTTGGATGCATGTTGTCCTGAAGTAGTCTTTAGTATTTATTTGTTGACATACATTCTGATGGCCTTTTACTGACAGATGCTACCAAGGGGACGTGTCTACCGCTACCCATCTGGTCGCGGAATACCTGATGGTCCTATGCCTGGTGTTGCTGGAGGCATGTTTTCTGTACCATATGACATGGGCGGCGGTGGCGGCATGCCTATCCGTGATGCAGCACTGTCCCAGCCAACAATTCCAATAGGGGCTTTGGCTACTGCTCTTGCAAATGCTACACCAGAGCAGCAAAGAACGGTATGCTTTTTTGTTTCTTTGTCCATTCATTGTTCTAAGATGGAAATTAATTTCTGTAAATTTTGTTCTTAATGTTTTTCATACGTTCTCTTTGGGTGAAAATTTGCAGATGTTGGGTGAGAATCTTTACCCGCTCGTGGAACAGCTGGAACCTGACAATGCAGCGAAGGTTACAGGCATGCTTCTGGAGATGGATCAGACTGAGGTTCTTCATTTGCTCGAGTCGCCTGAAGCTTTGAAGGCAAAGGTAGCTGAGGCTATGGATGTTCTGAGGAACGTTGCTCAGCAACAGCAAGTTGGCAATGCAGCCGATCAACTTGGCTCATTGTCACTCAATGGGAACCTTGTTTCATGAGAGTTTTCATCTTTGGATTTGATGGATTGAGACACTTGTAGGGTGTGGTCTGGATTGGTTTGAGAAGTTTCTTGCGTAGGTGGAAACTGGTTTTGGTCAATTTTCCGTGAGCTTTCGGAGTTTATTCAGATTGTGAATTTGTGATGTTTATGCATAAATATTTCTATGCACATGTTGCTTTCCGCAGCACTAAGACGGTCTAAGTGTTTATTTTTTTTCATTTGCAAAACTTTCCTCGGCTGTAACATTTTCAACTCTGAAGAGTACATTTACATTGAAGAATTTGCTGTGGGTTTGAAACGTAAAATTGTTCAGAAAACACGCACTTGTGTTTGGCGTTGATGAATCGGCGCGATAATTTTTATTTTAAATAAAATCTAAATTGCGAGCCGAGGTTTCTTGATTTTTGCTGTAAATATAGACTAACCATATGTAAGGGAGAGCTTCTTGTCTACCGCGGATGCACTTTCATGCCAGTGACACAATGACACGTGAAAACAAACTAACACAGGTCTCTGTATGGTTAGCATAATACACTTGTATGACATTCACGTGAATCATGAATTCAGCCATCTTCGTTTTCTCGGATCAGTTTTCGGTACATTGTGTTATAGTTTCCGAGCAAGGAACAAGCGGCAATGCATATTTATCGACAATTTTGCATTCATGTACGCTAATTACCATTTTAGACGAGCTATTATATGCACAAACTCAAAGACAACTCTAATAACAGCATACTTGGATACCCTTTCTTACCATCCACATCCCACGGAGGTGAAGTACAAAAACCACTACTAAAAAATTAGTCATCGACTTGGTTAACACGCCTTAGTCGGAGTCCTATGTCAACTTCTCGATCGTATCGGATTAACCTGTTGGTCTCGTAGTTAGAGTCCTGCACTTCCGAGGATGTCCCTGCTTCGTTTTGCTTCTCTTCGACGGCTTCCCCAAAGTTATGAAGCCTTCGACCAATTAGGTACCGGTCGTCACGTATTGAGTTGTGAAGGTTTGTGAACCAGACATGGAATCCCCTGGCGCAAAAGCACAACAGGCTAAAGCAAAGGCATCCCAGCCAGGCAAACCGATAAACTGCTGAGTTCACCACTAATGGGTAACCGAGAACAGGAAATAGCCCTCTGGCAAGTACATAAGGCACGCACAGGGCAGTCAACAACTTTATAATGATTGGGAATACAATTTCACGAAGCACCCAAAGACCTTGCAGCCTGGAGAACCCGTCTTCCCTCACCCTTGCAAACTTTGCTCGCCAGGTTTCATCCATCAGTGGCATCATGTGATCCAACATAACCTGCAGAAGTACGTAACAAGCAGCAACAATAAAAACCTCGGTCTTTTGTGAACAGAAAATCCCCAACATAATGAAGTCCAAACACATATGCTAATGATTATTTATAAGACCACTCACCAGTCTGGTCCATATCTTGAGAAAAATAAGGCCTAAAGCCCAGTCCTGGTAAAGCAGGAATACCGGGCTCTCATCAACAGGCACACGCATTGGAACGATCACCAGAAGCTCAAAGAGCAGCCCAATCAATACTGGAATGACAAAAATCTGGAACATAACACGAGACAGTGGTATTAGAGCATAAAACATATACAAACCTCATATAGAACACCACTTATAAAAACCAAATGATTTGTACCCATATTGACAAAAGCGCAGAACTCTTGACAACAATGGCACACCACTTCCAGATCTGGCCCAACAGAACTGCAACCCTTTTGGTTCTAATATGCTCGATGGAATATCTAATTCCAGCTACAGCAGTCCATATTATGTAGCTTCCAATGATGAAAGCATACAAATCTAAGACAAGAAATGGGAAAAGGTTCAGCATTCTGATTTTAGAAGTAAGAAACATAACAATTAGAAGGGAAATTACCATTACACTTGATTCCATGTGTTATAGGGAGAAAAGGAATGACATTGAAAATTGCCCTTCCAAGTGAGGTTGGTACGACTATCAAGGCAGAGTTGAAGACAAGTAACGTCATCCAAGCCACCGCCAACAAAAGTACAATGCGAAGCACAAAGCTGTACCTTCTGAAAAAAAAGAAAGAAAGAGATACTAGTAACCAAAAAAAGTAAAACCAGTTAAGATGATAAACTAACACAACATACTGTTCAAAAATGCAACGGGGAATAGAAAAAGAGGAATGTCGTGACTTCAAATTGTGAAGTAAAAACATCTGCATTATGAATTTTCTATCTGAAAGTAGGAATGCAGCCCAAGAAAATTTGAAAAAAAAAAAAAAAAAAAAAAAACCCTGTGATAGCAAAAGATACGATCCACTCGTGTATCAATTTGTACGGATTCTCTAAACTTACTCAGAATCAGATTGTTCATCTGTATCATACTCTTCTGCAACATTTGAGTCTCCTGATGCAAGAATAACTCCATTTGGATCATCAGCACCTGGAAGTGCCACCAAAGCCTGATCCTGTACCCCCAGTTGAACATGTACTCTATCCTGTCTTCCTGGCTCTGCATTTCCATTTTCCTGTGCACCATTGTCCTCAGATCTGGGCAGTAAGAAATCAGTTAAACCAAGAGCCCAGCCAACTGCCGTAAACCAATAACAGAGGAGGGATTTAATTGTTGTCCGTAATTTGAAATGCTCAGTGGCGAATGGAATGCATATTTGAAAAAGAAGCATGTCCGCAGGAATTTCAGTAAACGGGTCGGATACCCTGCCAATAGGGAAAAATGATATGCATCTTAGCGAACATTAAAAGATACCAGGAACATAATAAGTGAAAATGAAACACAGAGGGTCAATTTACGAGATGTCAAGAGGGAAAATGGAAGGTGCCATCCGCATAGCTAGTTTAACCGGTAAAAACACCAGCATCACAATTAAACTCCCATACACCACAACAGATAAGAGGACCCTGCGAGCATGTTTGTGCACCGGATCATCAATAAGATCACGGAATGGATTGTAGTTAGGATCAGCTGGATCTCTAAGGAAATAAAGAACTCCATTACGCAGAACCTGCAGGCAGAACATAGGACAAAAGATACATGGAAATTTGGTGTTTGAAAAGCAAATTAGCCAAAACATAAGATGGCAAAGAACAGTACCCCTCGAAGAAGACTGACAAATATGCTTATTTGTAGCATGTATATAATTCCAACCACCCAATGGACCAATGAACTGGCTAAGGGAGAAGCTGAGAAGAATTGAACCCTGTGAGACATGGACTTCCCGAACATCCTTATAGTACAAACATCTAGCCACCATCCACACATCAAGGGAAATACCCCCAGTTCAATGACTAGAAGAAAAGCAACCTTAATCATAGTCATCATATGCCTCATTGCTGCCAGGAACTGCCTGAAGAGAGATGAAATTGTCTCTGCCATAGAAGCAATACCATAGAACCTTCCCATAGTCAATGATTCACCCCTAGTGTACCGAATCAAAGCAACAATGCCCAGGTAGAAGAACACTAGGGAAAACACAAACATGTATCCAACGGCAAGATTTGTAACATCAGACAGCCTTGATGTCCCAAGTGTTGCCCCTTTCAAGAAGTCTGCTGATAGTGGTAAGCTTACATTGTTTGAAACCTCATTTAGTCCACTCATGTTCGCTTTCAGGATCTCTTCAACATGTCCAACCATACCACTTTGTTGGCTTTCAGATGATACATTCGTTACCGCTGTTACTGCATTCTTCAATGTTACATTTGCTAAGGAAAGGGCTGATTCTGTAAGTGGCATGACTGTTGACAATACTGGACCAGTAGCTGTGGAGAAAATCCAAAACAAATGATAGAGTATAATCCGACCTATTGAGAAAGGCACAAAGATTACTACACCAAGGAATATCATATTGCTGGCCAGAACCTGAAGAAAGAATTAAAATCATTCAATGTATTAATACAAATTACATAAAATATCCTTTACAACATAAAGTCCTAATGAGAAACTACCGCTGAAAGTTGACCTCAACCAAATAACACGCACAATACAGATGCATAAACAAGCTATAGTTGCCAGAAAAATCAGAAACAAAACAAGAAAAAAATAAAAAGAGAGAGAGAGAACCTAAAAATAGAAATATAAGAGCATTATCTATCAGAAAACATAATTTAAAGGAGAAAAAGACCAAAACAAAAACTTACAGTGAATGCATTTTCAACTAAATGAAATACAGGTCCCTGCATGCCGACAAGCTCATCAAACGGTACATCCTCGGCCCCATCAGCATCATCCAGACCATCAAACATCTGCTCCACTTGAGCTTCAAGACGAGCTGCCTGCATCTCCCACCGAGCAGCAACATTTTCTGCATTCCTCCTAATCATTTGACCTGCTCCGGCGATCCCCTGTGCTCCAGCATCTTCCCCATTCACATCACCAACAAAGTTCCTGTTAGCTTGTCCAGGAGCTCTCCTTGCAGCATGGGCACCATTTCTTTCCCCTTCATCTTCTCTGTCAGCATCCTGTCCTCCAAGCTCACGTAAATGCCTGAAGTAATCCCTCAGAGAAGTGGCCCCAAGAAAAATAAACACAATGCTAGCAGAAAGTAGGAACCCATGCAGACAATCAGTAAGGATGACTGTAGTGGATAAATGACTAAGGAATAATCTCTGGGCTTCACCAAAACTCCTCACAAAAGCCAACCGCCATATCCAAAATGTGATAAAAGGTATAATGAGAAGCCAAACAGAAAGCACAAAACTAAGGCGCAGAAGGAATTGCAGAACATGGCAAGTTTTCATTGCCATCCCAACTACAAACTCTTGAAAAGGAAGCCTTGCAGGGGCATTCTCAGCATATACAGGAGAGAAGGAAAACGCATGCTTGCAAACCTGCAATGCAAGTAAAGTAATCAGTGTCCCCGAGAACATAAAGTCACCACTACGCTTAAACACAAATTGAATGACAATGTAAAAAACATAAAAAAATTAAGAACCAACAATGCTGGATATCCCAATGAAATCCAACCAAGCATATATCTTGATTAGGTGCATAAAAAAGTATTTAAGGTCCAAGATAAATGGTATAAGCTCAATAAAGTTCACATTCCTCTGTTAGGATATTAACACGTAACAATTTCTGCCTTTCAAACTTAGGCGTGGTGATGCTGGGGTTTAACTTCTAGATTTTATTAACACAATGATATGTTTTTCTTCTCTAAACCATTGCTTCCCACCAAGATGACCATACACAATCCTAAATAAAATTCGAATATATCTTTGCTCTCTTGTTTTCGTTTTCTACCCAGTAAACGCGAGCACTCCCATGCACACTAGTATACAATAATTT